CCCCAAAACCCCAAAACCCCAAAACCCCAAAACCCCAAAACCCCAAAGCTTTATTAAACTGCTGAATATTACCTGAAATAATATGGTATTGTAAGCCAGACTTAATGACGAGTTCTAAATAATGAAGAGTTAATTTAAGCTCTATGGCAATACTATTTTTCATTTATGTTGTTACATTGAATATAATGGGACCTACTTATGCTTCAGGGAAGTTTCTAGAAAATACTTTTATTCCAAATATTAGCTTTAACAATCTCCTCTGACATAATCCCTAAGACTTTCCCTGCTATAACCACATCTAAACTCTGATTGCGATCCCTACCAAATGACAAGTCTTAATCTCATCCTATTTTTCTTTTTATTAGCCTATTTCACAGAATCTCCTAAACTCAAATACGATGCTATTTCTTCATCTGTAAATTATCAGCGATAAAGACTCACTTGGGTAGTAGAACTGTTGTAGAGACTCGGCATTAGGAGGTTCAATAATCGATATCTCACTTCTTCCAGCCAGGATAGCTGAAGGAAAAAGACTTTGTCATTAAAAGGCATCCTTCTGATCTCTAAAAGTTTTGAGGAATGAAGGGACATAAGTTAATACTTCGTAAAACTTTTTTGGAATTCATCGTATTATACGCAAAATGGTGGCTCTTGCCAGTTTTGATAAAGAGCCAGGAAACATTTTCTGTGCATCTCTTACCTTGTTTAGCAGTACGATGAATCTACTACAGGCTTGAAAGAGCCATATTTTCAGACATTTCAGTCATCTTCGAAGCTGTCTATAGAGCAGAATTTTATGAATTTATTTAATAAAGTAAGTGTAGTAATGGTTCAGTGGTTATGTTATGCCATTAATCAAGATAGTATTGGCAACATTTAGTTATTTTAATCCCATTTGCTATAAAAATGATTCCTTCCATGCTTTAAATTCTTATATTGCGGTACTAAAATATCAGATAAAAGTAAGGGAAAGGCTGTTCAGGCTAAGATGCAAAAAGTCCATCTAATTTTTTTTCCATAATAGCTGAGGGATTTCTAAAAGGCACAAGTATGATTAACTTATACCAATTGTACAACTATTTTAAATCTTATCTAGGCTCTCTTAGAGTTGTGAAATCCCTAATTAATATTTTTCCTAAGTCGATATTTTAAATTACGAAGAGAAATCATTCATCTTCGTTATAACCTACATAAAGATAGCTCTTAATCTCGCTCTTTAGCTCAATTAGAAAATATCAGATAGCATATTTAATAGTAGGATCATTATAAAAAAGGGGTTCAGGTAGTAGAGCATGGGTGAGTTATCATCTTTGAAATCAAGAATCAGAGATGCGAAGCTCTATAGTAATTCAAAACTCATTGACAAAAAGCTGCATTATTAATGTCAATCAGTCTAAGTAGCGAATTTAGAACTTCTTAAAAAATCTCTTAAATTATCACCCTATTACCATCTTGTACTACTAGTAATGTCTTTGTGATGAGGAGGCTTCAGAAATATTGAAATAACTCTGGCTCTGTCCACTTAAAATTATTTCTTCATCCTCATTCTCTGCTTAAGTCTAGCTCCTAAAATTTTGAGATCGGTAATTTTGAAGATTAAGAAAAATGAAACATGATTAATGATCAAATATATAAAGAAATATAGTCAAGAAGTTATATAAATTAATAATATCAGTGAATATGTTTGACTTTAAGTAAGTACTTTCCATCTTGCATTGCCCTACTATGAGCACAACTTTTAGCCAAGAATTGGCAATATTTCAAGACCAAAATTGTATCATTTTGCTCCTTTAACCAATAAGCCCAAAAGTTGCGAAATATCGATCATTTGGTCTTAAATTTTCTAGGTTAACTAGTCTTAAATTTTCAGCAAGAAATGACAACTGATACTACTACACCTTCTTCTCAAAATTTTCACAAATTTTTGAAATAGCCATACTCTGTTGATTAAAAGACAAAATTAGGGGGTAGGAGTGACCATGTTACTAACTTTTCGCCTGAGTTCTTACAGTAGTAACATTATAGAGAAATTTCTAATTTGCAGGAGTATCTCTGCTCGTCGTAATTTCTAGTGAGATTTATGGTCTTCAGTCATCACCAAAGAACTGAACAGCTCTTGATAAATTCTTTTATAATAGTTTATAAACTAAGATCTTACTCATAAGACTTACAATTGTTTGATCTCCTTTCTTTTAAAAGACTTGAGCATTTATGCAAAAAGTTGTCTTTTCTGATATGAAATCTCAGAATTTCAACTATCTTTCTCAAGTATTATTCAGAGTTTTCTGCACTAGGCTATTAAAAATTTATTCGCATTTTTCGCCGAAAATGCTCATTTGTTATATAGAAGCTATAAATCTACTATTGATGCGTCATTTGGATGCCAAGCACCTTGCCAAGTCTTTGTTTCCTTTATGACTCCCTCCAAGGCAAATCAGGAAGGAGAGAGTCCTAGTCTCTTTTCTCAATATTGAAGATGCAATCAAAAGGATACAGAAGATACTGAAATTTTATCAAATAAAGTTCAAGAAGCTTGCAGAATTTCGAAGAAATCAAGAAAAGAGATGATAAAATCTAAATTTAACTGGGAATCAAAACTGAGTTACCTCTACACTCAGCTTGATATGTTTCCGACAATGGACTCTTTCGTAACCACTGAAAGAAGGAAGTCCTCTAGGCTAGATGACAGAAGTTTGAGGAGGTCCTCCTATATTGGCCTTTCCAAAAACGGTAACCACTGGCAAGCAATGATTACCATCAAAGGGAGGAAGGCTTACATTGGGACTTACATGAATGAATCTGATGGTGCTAAGGCCTTTGACTTCTACTCTATTCTTGTCCATGGTCTTAGTTCCAAAGTAAACCATTCATATAAAAAGGAGGATATCTTAGAAATGATCGAGAAGTTCAGAGACCCACAAAATGATAACAAGTTCTAAATTTTATCTCAAAATTTGATCCCAAATATGCTAAATCTTCCTATTAGAACCTTTCTTTGACTTTTTGAAAGAAGCAAGAGTAGATTTTCGCCATTTATCCAGTTTTTCTTCAGAAATATTTTTAACTAACTAATTATGATAAGGTATCATTTAGAAAGCTCTGAATGGAGTCCCAAAAGATATCTGGTGATCCTCTTGAGCCTGTTTGTACCTTCCTTGTTTATTTAGCACAACTATAACCTCTCTAAATCATTTAAGTGCAACATTTGTAGAGTTTAGGTCCTGAAATTGAAGATTTCAACGTTAAAATATTTAACTGGGGTTTTGGGGTTTTGGGGTTTTGGGGTTTTGGGG